CCCCCCGCCCCCGCCGTGGCAGCTGTAGGTTCCCGCGGCGGCCAGGCTGGCACGGGGCAGCACCAGGGCTCCCTCCCGGATGGCCGAGCCCTCTGGCAGGGCTGCAGCACCTGCCCGTCTCCATTGCACCTGCGAGCTGGGGAGGAGAGACCAGGAGGGATGGGGACAGCGGGGTCACCTCAGTCCTACCTTGTAAATCCATCCCAAGGGATAAATCCCCTGGTGTGCATGGAAAACACCCACCTGTCACGGGCACCGGCACACAACAGGGTCACATCTGTCCCCACCTGTCCGTACTGCACACCTGCGGGGACACACACATCCCCAGATGGGTGTCAGCACCTCCATACCAGGGCTGAGGGTCAAGGTGGGCAGCCTGGGGCTGCACCCCCTGGGTGCTGGCTGTGGGGTCCTGCTTCATGTGGGAATCGCCACAAGGGACTGGGAAGGACTGGTCCCTGCTGGGGTTGGGCAATGGGCAGCTGCAGGTGGGGGGCTGCTGGCCGGAGGACACCCATCGCTGTGGGGCTGACTCCAGTAGGTCTGTGCCCACCTGGGGGGAATAGGCCTGGGATGTGGGGGCTTTGCAGGGGATTCTGAGCGTGCTCACCTTCCTCTCCCCAGCCCTCGGGAACAGCGAGGGAGGCAGACGCCAGGGCTGCTGCCAGGAACACCATCACCCTGCCCAGGCCTGGGATGGGACTGTGCATCTGTAGGAGGCAGAGCAGGGAGGGAGAGGCTGTTATCCCCTATCACTAGGTGGCTGGCAGGGTCCAGAACCTACAGGAGCATCCCTGCAGGACCATGCACCCAGCACCTCCTCCTCATCTCATTCAATCCTGCTGGGGACAGCACAGGGACAGCACCACAAGGACCCTGGCCAGGACACCTGGGAGGTTCTGTGCCACTGACACAGCCAGTCTCCAGCCACCAAGGAGTCTAGAGAGGGGATGCAAAGGGCAAACACAGATCAGGAGCTTGGGGCTGCGTGGGCTGGCAGGATTAAGGGCTTTTTGCCATTGAAATCCTGTGCTGGGAGCCCTGGCTGGCTTCCAGCCCTGGGGTGGTCCAGAGACCTGCATTGGTGCAGCTGGAGCAGGAACGCAGCAAAGAGAAATTGTGGTCTGTTTTTATGCAGCAGGAGACAGCAATTAGATCTGAAGAGGCTCATACAGCCAGGGCAGCAGGCCCATGAGAACTCAGATCGTACTGAGAGTGGAGCTGGCTGGGGGTCCCACATCACTGCCCATCCCCTTGCCAGCTATAGGGCTGCTCCTTGCATGACTGTGCCCTGCTGAGCCACTTGGGGTCTCTGGGCCTAAGGGAGAATAGCCCTGAAATCCCTTCCTCCCACTTAGAGACCACCTGTGAGAGGGATGCTGAGGAAGGGATGTGAACGCCATTCTCCATGAGTCAACTTCAGCCATAGATCTGGCCTTCCCACTCCTGTCTGTGCCAGCCAGTGTTGCCTAGAGGCACCATTCCAGCCTGCATCATCCTGCACATATCAGCCAGCACTACCCTGTCCACCCAGCCAGCATCACACTGTC